GAACTTCGAGTGTCAATAATAACATCAAAAGCAAAATGAACTTCTGTAGACCCGTCTCTTTGGTAATATACATTTGGCAACTATGATATCATCAAACTGTAACTTTTATCATAGACGTGATATATAACAGTAGATCTTTCGTATTATGAAATTTCTTACCTCGGATAAACTGAAATACCGACGTGAATACGAACTACGTTAGGAGGTATCGAACGTCGTTAGAATATATCGAACGTTAAGACCATGAATATGATGTTGACACTTAATCAACTTCAAGATGTTCCGAAATTAAAGCCTAGATCAAAGGAATGAAAAATTTTGAAAGAAACAAAACAAGAAAAAGAAGAAGAAGAAAAAAAAAATTACTAAAAATAGAAATTTACCATACTCTCGATCAACTCTCTCTTTCTCTCTCTCTCTCTTTCTCCCTCTTCTCGTTATCCCTCCCCCCCCGTCATTGCTATTTTCATCTCGGTGGTTTGGGGTTTTTTTTTATATATTTATTTATTTCTTTTCTGTTTGTTTTTTTTTTTATTTTTTTTTATTTTGGTACCAACATTTGCCTACGCCATAAATTATATATATATATATATACATATATGTATGTATATATATAATCATTATTCGATATACAATAATTAAAATTAGTAGATGCGTACGTACGTACATTGTCGTTTAATATTATGTGGAGAGTTATTAATAGTAAAAAGAATTCGTAAAATACAATACTTATTATTATATTATTATTATTATTATTATTATTATTATTATTATTATTATTATTATTATTATTATTATTATTATTATTATTTATCGATATTTTTCGATAAATTCAATTAACAGTATTATAATAAGAAATATATAATAATTTCTTTCGTTTGAACAAATAGTTCTTTTTTTTTTTTTTTTTTTTTTTTTTTTTTTTCCCAATAACTTAATACTTCATTGTATATTTTCATTGCTTGCGAATTATATATGAATCATTGTTATTTCATTTAACAATATTTACAAATTTTCATTTTCATTTTATTTACACGAATTGTTTTTTCGTGTAATATGATCTGTTACAATTTTTGTAAGATTTAGTTCGAATAATTTAAACATTGTCAGAGAAACCTTAAATAAAATCCTAAGCGTTTGTTTTGTATAATTATTGATTTCAGTTCGATTCAATAAATATTTGAAAGAGAGCTTTGATGGTTATGGGGGAAAAAAAAAAACCAAAAAAAAGAAAAAAAAAAAAGTATAGAAATAATCTCAAGGTTACATTTTGATATGGGAATTTGTTCGCCTAAAAAGGAAGATCCAAAAGGTAAAGATAAATGATCGATAGAAAAGATCATAAATGAAAAATATTTATTGAATTATCATTAAAATGTTTTTTTTTTTTAACATTGTAAAAAATAATATATTTTTATAAGAAAGAATCGAATTTATCGAAGGATTTAATAATTTTGTTTTTTTTTTCAGATGGTTATAAGCATAAGGAAAATGTCCATGTAATTATGAGCGGTAATGTGTAAATATATATTACATCATTATTATGTCCATTGCATATGTGTTTATTAAGAGTATATTTATTTATATTTTAATATCATTTATATTACCAAATGTGTATCTTCTTTCTTTTTTTCTTTCCTTTTCCATAATTAATATAGAATATCTACAATACTCTATAAGGATTAAAATATATCAAATATAAAGAAACATAGCATATTTATATACTAAATAAAATTAAATTCTAAATTAATTATGTTCTTGATAATACCACATATAGTCACAGCATATTTTAATTTACTTTAACAAATTAATTGAGATAATATTGTAATATATTGTTAAGTGCTTCTTCGTCTTCTGGATATTTTGTTGAGGTCTCTTCGTTTGGTACATAATGCGTTCCTTTAAAATAACTAAAGTAACGTCCAATCTTATAATGATTTATCAATCTTGGCTTTGAAGGAAATGATAACAAATCTATTAAAAGAAAGATAAGAATATTGTTTATAACAAATAGAATACTTAAATTATATATTACAATGATTATGAATATTATACCTTGAGGTATGTAACTAGATGATCCATCATCAACTAAAGCATTATAATATGGTTGTTCCAAATTTGTACATTCTTGCAATTGATTACGCGAATCATCAGGATCATAAGGCTTATTCCATCCTGTTATTACGCATAAATTACCATCCGTTTTATGGGTCATTATTAAACCAACGGCATATTTTACATTTGGAATCCTCCATTTCGGTTCTGTCTCTTCCTAAAAATGATAATAGAATTGCATTAAATTCCGATAATTAATTTTATAAATATATATGCATGATCTTTGATATATAGTCGAATAAATTTAATTAAGATATTAGATAATTAACATACATACTTCTGGTTTACAAGGATTCCGAATCATTTGTAACATTGGTTGAATTAAATTTGCTTGTTCTCTCGTTTCTAAATCCTAAAATGTTAGATTAATTTGTGTTAAATGAAATTCAATATTTTTATTAGATTAGAAAGAAAATATCACATTTGCTTAATGCAATTCTCTTTTTTTTTTTTTTTTTTTTTGTAAAATTTCAATTAACCTTTTGCATATTTTGCAACATTAATTCTGATATATCCATATGATGAATCATATAAAAACGACCCAAGTTTAAAATAGTAGTTTTGTCGTAAGGTTGCATCATGTAATTCAATTCTAAAGCAGAACGTATGCGTGATGCTCTACCATTTAAATGGATGTGTTGTCTTGCTGCTATATCTAGATTATATGCCATTCTTTTTACAACCTTTTAATCAATGAAGAAGATGTAAATACATTATAAATATCATAAAATTATTTCTTTTTTCAATTTATTATATTGAAAATTAGATTTATAAAGAAATCATGATATAGACCTCTACAGCAGTTGCAGGATTATGTAAATTATACTTTGCTATCGGACATTTAGAAATCCCACCAATTTTAGGGCAATTCTCTTTAGTTAAAAATTGACCACCATTAAGGACATCAATATAAAAGCTTTCTATACTTTCTGGTTCTGTAACATTACTAAAGAAGATATTATGAATTCATACAAAAATTTATTCAGTATAATATTAATTTTTTTTTCTTTTTTTTGTTATTATTTTAAAATATCATAGTAATAAGTAATTTGAAAATTAATAATTACTATTTTTCTTTCCATCGTAATAAGAAATGTGATGGAAAACTAACAGGCTCGCATCGTACTCCAAGACGTCTTGCAATACTTTCAAATATGATTGCTAAAATCATTGGAATTCCATGTTTACCTTCCAAAACCTATATTTCAGAAAGATATTTTTTTTTTCTTTTTTTTTGAACAAATATATTATATGATATATTATCTCTTTTAAAAAACATACCCTGTCGATAAATGAATTTTCTGAAGAATAATACATTTCGCTACTACCATAGAAACCTAAATTTTGGAAAAGTACTTCGCACAGAGCTTCCATAATCTGCCTTGTTTCTGAAGTACTCCATTGATTATCATTGATATTTCTATTTTTCCAAATTAATAATTGTTCTGCAGATAATGAAAATATAGAATGCTTAGGATATTTTTCATATAACAAATTTTTCGCTTGATTAGCTATATCATCGAGTAACGACGAAATATAGGAATAAGAAATATGTCGTTCTGGTTGGCTCCATTGTGCTACTATAGTTGCACCTTTTTCTAAAATTTGTTCATCTGGTGGAAAATGAATAAATCTTTGCCATTCTTCCGTTAAATAATTTTGCCTTAAATATCGAAGTACTATGAAGGCATAATATCTATGTGTTAAATTACTATCTCTGTAAAAAAAAAGAAAAAAAGAAAGTAAAAATTTTTAAAGTGGTATTTAAAGTGGTAATTAAAAGTAATATACATTTAGTTAAAGTATTACACAATAGTGGTAACTCACACAATAGGACGATTGATAAGACTGATGAGTTCATCAACAAGAAAATGATAACTTAATTGATGGGCGCCTTGTTCTGGACGGAAAAGAGGATCAAAATATCTTAATTCAGAATGAGACAATTCTTCTCTTTTGTAATGTTTGGTGGACATTAGAGACAAATGTTGCATTAAACTACGTCTTATTGTAATACTAATTTGTATTTCATTTAACCAGTTAAATACTTTTAAATCGACACTATTTTCTTTATAATGTTCCTTCAAAAGGGGCCATCTATACAATAATAATTTATAATAATAATAATAATAATTTATAATAATAATAATAATAATAATAATAATAATAATAATAATAATAATAATAATAATAATAATAATAATAATAATAATAATAATAATAATAATAATCAATAATTAATGTTAAATAAAAAATAATATTTTTGAGATATTAACAAGTTTTCCAAACGCAAATATAATATTAGTAATTATAATATTAGCCTATGGTATAATACCTTTGAAAATATTTAACTCTCCACAATTTATTGTTATCTTTGACAATTTGATAGAAATGTTTGCATGTTATCGAGAATCTGACAATATCTAGAAACGTAATATTCGGATCTTCTAAAATATATTCAATTATTTCTCCTGGTAGAAGTGTTATAATATATGCAGCCATTTTTCGTATCGTATCTGAAGATTATTCATTAATAAAAAAACTGCAAGAATTCAATGCACATTTATTTAATCCACTGCACCGATTTGAAATGACGTAGACTGCTAAAATAAAATAAATTTACACGTAGAGGAGTAAACATTTTTTAACGCCACAAATACTAAATATTACTACTTCATATTAGTCCTAAGAAGCTTATTAGATAAAACAGATTATAATATACATCACCATCAAGCGATCAAGAAGAGGATTACGTTATCGGCCATACATTAAGAGATTTATTTTCTATTTCTTATGATTTTATATATTTGAATTTGAACAAAGAATGACCTTGGATCATATCATATGTTTACATACATAAACATTGTAATATATGTTTATCAATTTGATTGAAAATGTAAGGTTAGATCACATGATTAGAATTAACCAATAAGAGATTCTTATAAAAAGTCCAATTAAATGAGGGCAGCCATGTTAGCTTTTTCATTCGCGCGATATCAAATAGGATCATCTTGTTTGTATCTGTTAAAATGAAAATATCATAGTTCGAATATTTTCTCTCTCATAAATTCTACGAAAGTAATGAATTTAATTATTTAGGTATTATTATTACATTATTTTTGCATAATGTCAATGTTAATATGAATGTACTTTACAAAATAAATATTACTAATTAATAGTTTTCTTAGTACATACATAATGAGCATGTATAATTAATAAATTTTTAATAAATGTTACATTATTTTTTTTAAACATCATTGATTTTATTTTTTTACAATTTATTTACTTACCGACGGTCAATAACTTTGTAAATGTAGCATGAATTTTCAATCATTAATATTCAAGCATTATTTTTTTTTTTCTTTTTTTTTCGTGGTTTAACAATTTTAAAGGATATTAAGACCGAACGTATATTTGGAGAAAATATATATAATCGATGTTTTATTTAGTTATAAAATAAAAAATTTATATGTATAAACGACGTATAAATATTTTAACACCAATAATTACGAACACTTTTTGAGGGAACAATTGAGAAAACACACCGACAGATAGCGCTGCGACACGACGTATATACGTGAAAGTAAAATTCTTCGTTATATCGTTATTTATAATTAATTATTCGAATTATTTTATTATAAATAAGAGAAAAAGAAAAAAAAAAAAAAGAAAAATTATCTCATATATAACCGAGTAATAATTTGTTCAAATTTTTAGAATATAATTCATTAAGGATGATTCAAAATCAAAAAGGAAAAAAGAATAAAAAAATGAGTATTCATTTTAAAATAAAATCTACGTGGACTCACCTTTACATCGCGTGGCGTCACCTGTCAACGTGCGATAACAGCTTTATTGTTTGTGCTTGTCATTAAAGAGATAAAAAGAAGTATGTATATATCGTGTGGGCTTGGAGTAATACATAACCATGTACATATGTACATAATCCATCTTTAGACTTGCAATTATATTATCGTCGTAAGATAGTCAATGTTTGATTTATTTCACATTGGAAGTGTAAGTTTAAGTTTAGAAAGAAAGAAAGAGAAAGATAGAGAAAGTGAGAAAGGGAGAGAGAAAAAGAGGAAGAGCGAGAGAGAGAGAGAAAGAGAAATAGATAGAGAGAAATAGATAAAGAAAAAGAACAAATTAATTGATTTTTCAAAAGAAGATAGTATAACCATGGTGTACTCTTTTGTAATCTAATGTCATTGCAAAAGGACAATTGCCTTTGGTCATAGTATACATTAATTGAAAGAAGATAAACGTATATAAACAGAAAGTGTGGGCGGGGGCGGGGGTTTGAAGAAAAAGAAAAGGAAAAAAAAAAAAAAGAAAAAGTCCAAGTTCGTGGATCCAATCGTACGAAAATTCGAAGGAGAAATTTTTTTTCTAATCTTTTATCGCGAATGGAAGAAAAATGACGATATCTGTCGCATGTTTAGTAAGTCTATTATCTTGTAAAAGTATTATTTGATTAGTGCCAAATCTTGTAATAGTGCCAGCGGTAGCTTCTTAATGTTAGTAACAAATATTAAACTGTATTCGTAGTTCTTATTATAAAACTATATGTGAACCAATTGAAAACGATTCTATCGCGTAAAACTGTCAAACGTCATTAAAAGCGGCAAATTTCAAATTGTACTGATTGTATTTTTTTCTAGGATTTTTGTTCTTCGCGATACAGTCTTCTTTTGTTTTTCCTTTTTTTCTTTTCCTTTTTTTTGTTTTTTTTTTAATCTAATTTTTTTGTTTTTCCTTTAACGGTCAACTAAATTAATTCAATTAAGGTAATTTATAGGTTAAGTTCTCAATGAATGGTGAAAAAGAAGATTAGAAAAGATGTTATGTTTTTAAGTTATATTTTTTGTTTTGTTTTATTATTATTATTATTATTATTATTATTATTATTATTATTATTATTATTATTGTTATTGTTGTTATTGTTACTATTACTATTACTATTATTATTGTTACTACGTACATAGTACAATAGAAACGATCAAAATTTGAACATATATTTTTTATGTTTATCATTCATTTTTGTCACTTCTATGTCTAATTACATTATTTCATGGATAAGAAGCTTATAATTAGTGCACGAATATTATTTGAGTTGTGTTATGCATTTCTTACATATATATATGTGTGTGATCTGACAAAGTATTTAGTATTGATCTGCTACAAGAGGAATTTGAAATTTGTAATAGTTCAATAATTTTTTATTTTGACATTACTCACAGTAATCAGTAGATAACATGTAATTAATACCTAGGTCGATGGTTCAGGTTTATTAATTATTTTCTTGGAAAAACTTTTAGAAAATTTTGAGGTTATATCGTTAGATATTATCTTTGAAATTACTTTCATTTGTCTTTCTTTTTTTTTTTTTAATTTAAAAACAAATGCTTTTATAAGATGTCAGTATTATATGCGTAATGTAATTATTAGAGTTATAAGTCGTATTAATTATTATAAAATTTTTTTTTATTAGTGAAAACATAAGACATGGTTTGGATGTAGTATATCCACAATACATTGGCAAGTATGTTTAATGCAGAGCCTGAATCTGTCTCTGAGGGTTGGCATACATACGAATTACCTAGCACAATGATCCCTAATGCAAGCTCTGGAATGGACGACGAAGATCATTTTTGCAAGCTTATATTGTATAAAGAAATTAAGGATTCCAGGTATGAGATTGTATTGAAGAAAAGTACACAATTATCGTATAACTTGTAGTATTTTTCAGAGTTCGTATATGGGATATTATAATACTAGTGCCGAATTTATTATTTCTTCTATTTATTGCTATAAGATTTAACAGAGCAAGGCTTAAATTACGTGCAACGAGTAGTCCAATATTTTTAGCATTTTATGGACTTGTTATTTGTAACGTCGTTATATCAGTAATACGGTGTGTCGTATCAATGACAGTTAACGCTGCAGCTACCGTTGGTGGTAAAGCCGATAAAGTGCTTTGGGTTACGGTTAGATTTTTTTTATTATCTACGGAGATGAGTGTAGTAATATTTGGTTTAGCATTCGGTAAGTTCATTTTTATTATTTACTTAAAAGCAATTAAATTTTTCGTCTATTTCAAACTCTAGACACTATGGATTTATTTTTTAGGACATTTGGATAGTCGATCGAGTATTCGTAGAGTATTACTCGCCACATCTTTTATCGCTTTAGCGTTTACTATAACTCAAGGGACTTTAGAGTTAGTTTTACCAGACGACACATTCCATATTCCAAGTAGAGACTTTTATGTATTTGGCCATGGTGGTATGATGTTTTGGTTTTGCAGCAGTCTCGTTTTTACTACGGTAATATTTCTTTCATAATAAATGATTAATCTTTATACTTATTTACAATTTATTTTCATTGTTAATAATTATATTTCTTTAGATATATCTTTTTATATTGATATTACCGTGGACACGATTAAGAGAACGTTTAGCACTTCCGAGTAAGTTGGAAATTGAATGTCTCAATGTAATATAATGTTGAATATAAATATTTTAATGACGTGTTATTATAGCACGGAAAAGCTTTTACGTTTATGCTGGCACATTGGCCACAATGGATTTAGTACAATCAATTGGTGCAGGTTTTTTAACTTACACACAAAATCCCGTTGGACTGTGCATTGTAGATTTTACTGCAGCAGTCTATTTAACTCTCTTTACGCCATTGGTATATCACACTTTCCTATCAGAATTCCTTGGGTAAGTTTTCCCCTTATCACTTTTCTTCTTTTTTCATATTAATTTTAGGAATTTTGTAATTTGTTATAGAAATGTAATTTATCGTTTTAGGGTCTCGCAACCTTCTATAATGTTCTCTTACAAAGCACAAGTTGACGATGCAATGGACGAAGACACTGTATCGCTTCCTCATCAACAAAGTTTCTCATCGTTAAAAACTGACAGCGATTACATCTATCAGGTCCATACTCCGTCTATTCACATGCCCCTGTATGATCCTCAGGCATCATCCACTGCAATGCATAGGACTTCTCTGTATTCCTTAACATCTGCGAAGGATTCTAAATATAATACTATTAATCCTTATGAATCACAGGTCACATTACATAGATCATTTGGTATTAAAAATTTCGCTAGACGTTTTAGTGCAGAAAAAAGTATAGATGATTTCGCACATTATCCTTTAACAAAGTCAGACAGTGTTAACCATATTCAAAAAGGTTCATTGGATATTAAATTTTATAATCCGATGTTAAAAAATGATTTATCTTATAAAATTAAACTCGGCACAGCCAAGAGTGTCTCTAATTTAATATCATCTGCAAATACCGCCAGTAATTTTATTTATAATCCTCGAACGAATAGCAGCAATTCGAATCTTTTTTTTCCAACAAAAAAAATTCATTCGGAGAACGCTTTAACAGTTTTTACATCCTTTGACAAAGAATCATCTAATGATTTATCAGTTCGAAAGAACGAAGTAACTGATAAATACTTCAAATCTTTTTCTGAAAAATCTTTAGATATTTTAGATTCTCCTCTTTTAGGGGATGATAGATCGCAGAATATATTAAATAAAGATAGTTGTATTAAAAGTAAAAGCGAAATTAGATTGGAGAAGGATAAAGATTTAGAATCTATTCAAGGACGATCGGAAAACCGATTGCTCGACATTTCGGATATTTCGAACGTAAAGAAAAATCTAATATCAGAGACTATGCCGTTTTCAACGGCTAACATAATCAATATTAATTCCAATGTTTCAAATGAAAAAGAATCTGCTGGTTTAAATCAATATTTGTCATCGTTAACGTCAACCAAATGTGAGAAACTTATTAAAAAGCAATCTGAATCTTTATATACACAGACAGACTCTTTGTAAATAATTTATGTAC